ATGATAAAATAATAATAATTTATAAATTATCAAGGGTTCATGAGGGAGGGGGGAACAGGGAGGAAGGGAAAAATTCGAGAAGCTGATACCAAGGCTTCAAGTGGAGAGCAAATGTTTAGAGAAGGATGAGGGCAACAAATGTACAAATGTGCTTGACACAATGTATATATATATGGATTGTGATAAGGGTTGTGCAAGCTCCCCCCAAAATGATTTTTTTTTTTTAAAGTTTATCTTTGTGTTTCCTAACATTGTCCTGAGGAATGAAGACAGGTGTTTGATTTGGAAATTCATGTACCCCGACTCATCATTGGGCACTTTAGATAGAAGCTCAGTTAATTCCTTTAATGTGCAATAGGAGTGTTTAAGGCACAATCCAGTTCCCTTAGCAGATTTTCCAATTCAGGTCTTTCTGGTGTAGCCTATGTGGAAAGCTAAAGGCCAGGAGAAAACAGGGTTTGTAGAATCCAGGTAGACGGTAGTGTAGGACCTGGGTCGAGCAGGACTGAAAGACTGTCAGTTAAACATCTGTGATCCAACACACAGTTCTGGGTCGATGCTCATCTTTGGGGACCAGCAAGGCACTGTCAAGCTTTTTCCCCACGGACAAGCCACCCTTTCTGATGTTCAGAAGCGAGTGCTCTTGAGTGGGACACCCATCCTTCACCTTGACTGTGGAGCTCCACATCAAGCCTTGGGGTCTTCATCTGCTCTCGACATGAACAGGATGGAGCCCATCCCCCCAGATGTCACTGACTCACATCCCCTCTGAGCCGTGGGCCCATGAGAACAGGCTCCACCAGGAATGTGAGTCCCAGAGAAGGGAGGTTGTGGCTCAAGGACACACAGAGAGGGGACAAGAGGTCCCAAAGGAAACAAAGAGGACATTTAACCCATCAGTGAGCATCCAAATGGAATGTCCCCTGTGATTCAGAGACAGATCCACCCTAGGGCAGGAACACTATGCCCATGGACACAAGGAACCCTGAGGAGGTATCATTGCTCCGAATTTTTTTTTAATTAGATACTTTTATTGGGGGCTCTTAAACGCTTATCACAATCCATGTATTCATCCATTGTGTCAAGCACATATGTGCATTTGTTTCCACCATCATTCTCCAAACATTTGCCTTCTACTTGAGCCCTTAATATCGGCTGCTCATTCCCCCCATCTCCCCACTCTCTGCTCCCTCATGAACCCTTCATAATTCATAAATGATTATTATTTTGTCACATTGCTCTGAAATTTGTTCCCAGGAACTTGGGGGACAAGATCTGTGGATAAACCATGGAAGGCTCATCGTAGGGTCTGTTGAATAGGGGGAAAAAAATAGAAAACAACTCTCAAATTATGGCCAGGATCAAGAATCATAATTTCTCTACAATTTTCTCTATTTATCTGTGTAGTCATACATACAGTGGAACTAGCCTTTCCATGTGGAGTTAGCTGTGAATGATTATGATGGCAAACCTGAGCTTCCCAGAGCAGAGGCTACATCTGCAACTTTCTGAAGCACCTGCAGGGTCTGCCATGAGGGCGGACACTGCTAAGTGTCCAGCAATGACTTGTTGAGAGAGGAGCTAAGGGAGAGGAGCAAATGGCCATGGGAGAGGTCCTCTGAAGGGAAGTGACAAAGCTCTGTTCACATTCAGCCTGAAAGAACTGATGCGGTAGGTACGGAGTCTCTGGTCTTCGCCCTTTCAAGATGTGTGAAGATGAGAGAGACGTAGCCAGGGTTCAGCGTAAACCTCAATTCTTCCTGAAATGTGTCTGTAAGCGCAGGGCCCACTCAGTGTCAGCCCTGGGGAACTGAGAGGCAGGATCAAGGGGAGGAAACGTTTCACTTCCTGTGAGGTGGCCGTCATGACAACACCATGAAGGACAGAAGTCATTCTCCAAGTGTCCACAGCCTGTGAGCCTGTCTCTCCTGCTGGGTGCGGGGTCTCACTGATCTACGCAGATAAAGACAGCGTGTGGAGTGGCCATGGCCACCGTGCTCACCTCCTTGCTCTGCCTGGGTGAGACCTGAAGAGGGTGAGGGGAACACGAGTCTGGGCAGGACCCTTGGCTCACAGCCAGGTCTAATCTGTGCCCAGGCATCGGGAGGAAGAAGTGGGGGACAGGGTGTGCTCAGGCACTGAGGACAAATCACTATGGAATCTCTCTTCCAGGGCTGAGTCTGGGCCAGAAGATCCAAGTGCAGGCTGGTGAGTCCTGTGGGGTTTTCAGAGATGTGAGTTCTTGGAATTTGGTGGTGTGATGCTCCGGTGTGTGTGTGTGTGTGTGTGTCTGCGTACGCATGTGATGGGGATGGAAGAAGAGGGAGATAAGCTAAGTAAGAATTTCCTTAAATTCCCTCTGATCCCTTCCAGGGACTCTTCTCAAACCCACCATCTGGGCTGAGCCTGGCTCTACAGTCATGGCTGGGAGACCTGTGACCATCTGGTGTCAGGGGTCCCTGGAGGCTATGGAATACCAGCTGCATAAAGAGGGCGTCAGAGTGCTCTGGGATACACAGTTCCCACTGGAGCCGAGGAGCAAGGCCAAGTTCTCCATTCAACAACTGACTGTGGACTTTGCAGGGCGATATCGCTGTTGCTATCTCAGCAACATTGGGAGGTCAGCACTCAGTGACCCCCTAGACCTGGTGATGACAGGTGAGAGGACACTTGTGGAACCAGCCTTAGCACCTGCCCCTCAGGGAGAATGTCTGCCCTCTCCCATCCCCGGCCTGCATGGCGTGGAGTGA